CCCTGTGGGTGGCAGGGTCCCTGTGGGTGGCAGAGCCCCCCTGTGGGTGGCAGGGCACCCCTGTGGGTGGCAGAGCCCCCCTGTGGGTGGCAGGGCACCCCTGTGGGTGGCAGGGCCCCTGTGGGTGGCAGGGTCCCTGTGGGTGGCAGGGCACCCCTGTGGGTGGCAGGGTCCTTGTGGGTGGCAGGGTCCCTGTGGGTGGCAGGGTCCCCCTGTGGGTGGCAGAGCACCCCTGTGGGTGGCAGGGTCCCCCTGTGGGTGGCAGAGCACCCCTGTGGGTGGCAGGGCACCCCTGTGGGTGGCAGGGTCCCTGTGGGTGGCAGGGCCCCCCTGTGGGTGGCAGGGTCCCTGTGGGTGGCAGAGCCCCCCTGTGGGTGGCAGGGCCCCCCTGTGGGTGCAGCTGCGATCCCTGCACGCAGGCTCCTTGGAACAGCAGAGGACCCACCCATCCGAGGGCAGCACTGACCAGAGCCCCCGTTAGCAAAACCAGAGCGTCCCGGCCCGGGCTCCAGGCCCACCCACCTCTGGGAACAAGGCCAGGCTGACGTGTGCCTGGTGCCGATGCCACCACGCTCCGGCAGACTCACCATGCTCTAAGAGCCAGGCCAGCCTGGGCCGTGGCCAGCACCCCCACCCCGACTGCCCAGGACGCCTCCCAACCCCCGCAGCAAACCTGGAAAGCCCTTTGAGCTGGTACTGGAGCCCGTCGCTGTCCAGGTGCCCTGCAGCCAAGCCGCCCTGGGGGTGCAGGACCCAAATGTCCTGGGGCCTCCGCTCCGCCATCAGCTGGGAGAACACATCTGCCCACACGCCGGCCATGCTGTGCTGTGCTCGCAGTCAGGCTGAAGCTGCGTCTGCCGGACCCAAGGAGATGCCCACGCTGGCCAATGGGCAGCCTCCACCGCACAGGGTCTCCATGGCAACCAGCCCGTCTGGAGAGGGGCGGCAGCAGAGCCAGCCGCAGCAGCGCGGTGGCACTCCGGCGTCCAGCCTGGCCAGGCACAGGTGTGCTCACGCATCCTGTCCGCCCCCAGGCAGCCCACCCCTGCTCCTCTCCATCCTTTGTCCCCAACCACCCACAGCCCCGCGTCCCCAGCACAGGGAAGCCCACGGCCTGATGAGTCCCACGGGGAGAGAGCAGCACTCAGCCCTCAAGCAGGGTCTGAGGCACCCAGCAGCCACAGCCACGCGTCGGGGTCCCTGGGGTCCCGGCACCTCTAAGGAGGGGAGCGTCCGCAGGGGACCGCGGAGGCCTCTGGGTCCTCCGGCTGGGCGCAGTCTGAGACCCAGGGCTGGCCCTGGTCCTGGTCCTGGCACTGGAGCCAGCCAGAGCACCAGTGCCACCTCCACTTCTGCCTCCCGCTGACAGTCCAGCAGTCCTTCCCCCACCCCGGCCACTGAGGAGGGGGTGCCCTGCCAGCAGCCCTTCCCCCACCCCGGCCACTGAGGAGGGGGTGCCCTGCCAGCAGCCCTTCCCCCGCCCCGGCCCACTGAGGAGGGGGTGCCCTGCCAGCAGCCCTTCCCCCGCCCCGGCC